TAGGGCCACACTATGGCACGCAGCGATCCATGACAGGCGTCGTCAGCGGTCCGTAAACTGACCCTGGCCTGGGACGGTGATCACTTCCGTCAGCGTCCCTTCCCAAGGTGACCGGGGCCCACTGTGGTCAGTTCCAGAGGCATTCATTCCACGCTCTGCTGAAGGCTAGGCTTCTGTCGCGGGACCACATGCGTACGTTGTCTAAAGATGCAGCCACAGTTGACAGAGTTGACATCCGTGTTTGTTTGGGATTGTGGCCATTGTGACGGAACAAGAGGTCCTTGCATGTTAACATGCGTTCGGATTGCGGTCAAATTGACGACGCAAAGATTTTTCCGGAATGGTTCCGAACGGCGCGGCCTAGCTGCGCCAAAGTTTAAACAGCTGTAGAGAATTGAAAAGCGGATCTTCTGACATTAAAGATTTAGATGTACCGTGCAAGGTCGCTGACCTTTGGCAGCTCAAACTCAGACCATGATTTAAGCAAAGGCAATTTCTAGGGAACAGCTCAATCTGATACAACAACAGAGTGTTAGACGGTACCATACATCTCTGAGATGCTTTCTTAGGCAACACAACGATTTAATGAACAAATTACATTGACTTGGGTCAGGTATGAAGGTTAAACCAAGAGCATAACCAACCCGTTTTATTACTCTAGGGTTTGCTGTATGGGTAGATTCTGGCACTCATTCCGAAGTTATTGATGGCAGGAACCGCATTATATACCTTCCATGGACTTTTTGAATGTCAGAATAGGCTACTGACCTAAGGTGACACAGGTCAACATTTTTTTAGGAACATACTGAGTGGAGTACTCTTTTTCTCTGATTCACATGCAAAACTCAAAGCAGTCCTGAATGATTTTGGACACCATGGCCTTCAAAAGGTCAAACAAGGTCGATTACCTTAAATAAGCGTGTGGCCTTTTGCCTAGAAGAGTTATCTAGGTTCTAGGGGCCCTTTGGAAACCAACCTGGACTTTGCCCTTGTTTGATCTTAGTTGACCCTAAGGTCATGGCCTAGAAACCTCAAACTTTGACCTGAGTAAGCTTACGTACAGGTTAATACACCCTGTGAATTAAGGGTTTCCGGATTTTTTAGTTCCTGAGATCTCAGGGGGGTCAAATTGACCCCATCCGAGCGAAAGGTGTCCAACCGGCCGCCCGGGCGCGTGTTAACAAGCGAAGAAGAGTAAACGCGCAAACATGCAGCAACTATTTCAAACTTCAGACCTCTTCCAGTGTGGCTCTTTTGTATTTGTTGCTCGCGGAGAGGCCAAGGATGTTTTTCAACATATCATAGCATGATCAGGACACTTAATCTAGCAGGGCGCAACACTGATATCATTCCACGTCATAACCTCTACGCAGGTACAGTTTCATGGCAGCAGTTTTGGAAGCGATGGATCAAGAAAAATATATTTTGGTGTATTTGTGTATTTGCCGCGGAGTATTTGTGATAATAGGTGTATTTAATATATATAATATAACACAATGGATGTATATCATAATAGGTGTATTTGTGATAATAAAAAAGTGGGAACTGGTGACGTCAGTCTCATTACGAGGCATGACTTCTAACTAGGTGGATTAGACCAAATGCATTCAAGGTACACAGCATTTCTGTTCTGTTGTTTTCTATTCATCCTTTTAAAAAACACGCATCAAAGTTTTGAATAGTTAGAAATTGTTATGGCATTGACGAAGTGATAGCGCGTTTGATGTAGTATTTACATTTTTGACAAAACTCTATTCCGTATTTTGTAGTGACGCATTCGCGACTTCAGTTTTACATCATTAATATGGGACTTAACTGATTTATTTTATGCATACGATACAGTAGGTTTTCCACTGCATTTCACGAGTGTGTGATTTCTGAGGTCGCAATCAACGTGTTAAAGCTGTTCATAGTATTTTTGAGTATGTGCAGCAAGGATAAAACGCAAAGTGATTCGCAAAATTATTGGATTTCTATTCAACCTTTTAAGCAGTCTGCATTTTGCCACGGGCGGAGCGGGGCAAATCGCTCAACTACTCAGAATTAAACATTACAGCTGGGCAGAGAGGGCCTTCCCGATCCCTCGATTTCTCCCTCAAAGTCTGGTCGGCGTGATGATCTCATTCAGCAATATCAGGCAAACAGCCCCATGGCTAGTGTTTAAAGGAATCCTGACGCCTGGAATGAGAACGAAAGCCACCAGCACACTTCCGGTCCGCAGTTCGCACGCGCCGCCAGGCTGTTCGCGGCACACGGCGGCCTGCAGTTTCCTGCACCAGCGACGCGGCGTCGTCCCACGGTGCATCCGGTCAGCCACGCGACTCTTTGACCCCCTATGGCCGGACGTCCCGGCGCGTGCGAACCGGCCAGAATTCGCGAGGAAGTGCACAATTTGCCGGCGCGGCGTCCGAGCTCGCTTTAAAGGGCGCCGTGAGAACCACCCCGCCACGGTGAGAAAGTTACACGGAATGAATGAAATTTTCGGAAACATCTTTTTGTGCGGCGTGGGACTAGCGGAACTGGGGTTACAATGCGCTCGTTACCGTCACAGTGCGTTCACATTCTGTGTCGTTGGCCGGCTTGTTTGTGCGATACGGTCGGTGGAAACTTCGCATCCAAGCGTTGAATGGGCGTCATTGCTGAAAACGCAACTTGTCACCTTTCACAGATGCCATCTGTGAAAGGTGACAAGTTTCCTTTCCTGTTACCTTTCCTGCGCGAAAGACACTTGAAAGTATGTGGAACACCGCGTGTTGACACTAATGGTGCAGTATGCCGTTACCTCAGTTCAGCTTCCGGGTTGTTTACCCGGGCCTTCAGCGCTCGCGCACTCCAACAACTAGCGTGTCGTGTCTGATCCGCTCGAACGCCACCACTTGGCCGATCCCGCGGTGATGGCTGCTGCATCGACCGACGGGACACCTCCAGTCTCCCCGAGCACGTCACCCGCGCGCCCGAACGCGTCGGCCGCGGGGATCTGAGGGCGCCGCTGCGCCGGCTCTCGTGCGGCGCCCCCGCCGCGCTCAGCCGCCGGCCGCTCGGGGCGTGACCCGACGCCACGTGACCGCCTGATTACCCGTCACCGTCGAGGCGCACGTGCAGCCGTGCCGCGCGCGCGCGACCCGCGTGACCTCCGCGCGTGCCTGCTGACCTCTGGCAGTTTGAAGGTGGTGCGGCTTCCGTGCCCCATTGTTGACCTGGAGAGGTGTGCTGAGGTAGGCTGCTGGATCAAGTGATGTTTTAGGTGCTCCAGGCTGACTTGAATTGGATGCCGCGGTCTCTGCTTACGTAAGCGCGTCAATTTCAATGTCATGTCCGGCATATTTCATTCATCAGTGCTGATGCCTTGAAATAATAGCGTTGTAAGGGGTTTTCTTTACTGCGATAACACGACTCTTATTGCTTTTTCAAGAGCAGTCCTTGTCGTTGAGGTGGTTGCTTGGGGCATGCCCTTGCTGTGAACGTTGTTTGACGGCAATGCTACGCACATGTACGCATGCCATTCACACACATGCCACATGTAGCACTCCGCGGTGACTCATGAGTACACTGGTAGTGTAGTGGCTAAGCTGCTCGCCTGGAAAACCAGAGGCAGTGTGTTCGGACGGCAATGCTACGCACATGTACGCATGCCATTCACACACATGCCACATGTAGCACTCCGCGGTGACTCATGAGTACATTGGTAGTGTAGTGGCTAAGCTGCTCGCCTGGAAAACCAGAGGCAGTGTGTTCGATTCCCGGCGGTGTTCGCCCTAGCTTCAAGGGTCATGCAGGAGGGCAGGCCGCGCCATTTTACCTCAGCAGATCAGTCCGTCGACAATTCCCAACGACAACGACGGAATAAACCAAAAGAGCAAGCAGGATTTCAAGAGAAACTGTTTAAGCCATTCACAGTATTGGAGTTGTTATCGCTGGAAGCTGCGCGTATGATGGCTTTACGTTAGCCACTGCTTTAGCAAACCATTCCAAGACTCAGCTTGCAAGAATATCGGATGTCGTTATAGTCGCGATGTTGGGTTAACACGTGTCTCAAATTTTTTCAGCACACAACCACTGCAATAGAAAGGCTTTAGTTCAGCATAAATAGTCCTTGAGCACACCGTAGCAGTGGTCAAATGCTCCAGGAACATTTGCGGTAACGCAGACAAAGCGATTGCGTTAACTGATTTTTACACGCCTCTCACAAACGGCAATTAATACCACCACAAATGTACCGCCGGGGAGACTAGCGTCTTTCCTCGTTTCATACTGTGTTTTAGGTGTTTCTAAGTGTACCGTAGCGGGGTTGTCACGGTATTGTGGTTAAGTGTCATTAATACAGTGGATGCAGATGCACATAGTGCTGATACAAAGATTTGCATCAATGCGTGGAGATTCATGGAACTCACCTCTGCCCGATGAGCAGACTTCTGCTAAACACATTTTTGGTTGCAGTTCCTCTCAAATTTTGGTTGGTCTTTAACAAATATCGAGGGGAACGAGACGAAAACTAAGAGGGCAATGCGTGTGCAAGATGATATAAAAATCGCTCTCGCGCTTCGCCCGCATTGTTGAATTTTATGCATTCGACGATATCAAGATACTTTCGCAATGAAAAAGTGAGTAGCTTTTTTACAGTTTCAGATACGGAGCAATTAGGTTAAGAGTGATGACGGCACGACACGCCGTTCTTGGACCAGCAAGCTGAAAAACGCATTTTGTCCATCAAGATTCTCATAAAATTGGTTGACTTCTGACGTTGACACACTTCTTTCTTGAACACACTGTAGTCACATTTGTATGTCAGCCCCGGAAATAAGCATTTGCACTTGCTGCTGCCCCGGAAACTAGTTGGCAGAATTGCCGATAGGGTTCACACACGAGCGGACGCCGGCCTGGGAGCACCTCCGCTGGCGCGGATGCCGGCCGCTGATTGGTCGAGCCTGCTGACCTCCGGTAGCGCGTGCGCGCTGTGATTGGCGAGCCGGCCGCCACTGGACCGCAGTCCGTCGCTGGTGGTGGCAGAGGCGGCAGGCGCGCGCGATTGCTCCCGAAGAATTGTGGTTCTCTGGCCTTCAAGCCACCTGCTGAGTCTGCCCAGTCCACTGCCAGTTGTTGCCATACGATCTGTGGCGATCGTGGTTCTTGCTCCCAGTTTCCCACCCCAAGTTTCACGGTGGCTATCCACAACATGACCGACCTCGAGTCTACCGGACCTGTCGTCTGGCCAAAATGGTGCTACTCAAGTAAGTCGCTTGCGTGTGGTATGTGAACTGATTTAGTTGTCATTGGGACTGTGTTTATAGCCTACCGGAACCTCGGTAACTATAGTAACATGCATAGATGCATTGCAGTTTCGGGGCGTTCGCCAGTTATAGAGTGGGGCTTGTACACTAATAAATTTTGCATTTGTACGACAAAATATAATTCTCCTTGACGTGGTGTGCCATTTCATCACGGGGCCCATGCTGCGGAGTGTTAGCGGTCTATGCAGCCCTGCAGTTCCTCACGTGCGTGCATCCGGTGATGTCTTTATGTGCGTCCGCATTGTGGCGGGTTACGTTTCTGTGCGTGCCCGCAGTCCTCAACGAGGCCTTAAGCACGCACCACGTTACACGCATCTCTCGGTCACGCTGTCAAAACTGATCAAACCAAGATGAGGTGTCTGGCCTCTTTATCCTTAAAGTTGCTGTTTTCGTGACTCTTGCTGATCTGAACCAGAGCAGAGCTCCAGAAGCCCTGTGCATGTAGTGGCCAAAACTGACATATTACGACATTTAGTGGCTAAGTCAGTCGACACCACAGCACCGGTGTTGAGGTCGGCCGGCACCACAACACCAGTGGTAAGGTCAGCCAACACCACAGCACCAGTGGTTTGGCCAGCCGGCACCACGACACTAGTGGTCAAGTAAGCGGGCATCACAGCACTGGTGGTCAAGTCAGCAAACACCGCGAAGAAAGTCGGACGGCCCGTATATGTGGTCTATGGATTAAATCGTTGGGCTTCCTCAGCAGCACTTTAATGCGTTGCCTTCACTTTTGCAGCAGCACATCCTCAGCAACACTTCAAAACACTGGTTGAAATACCTTTGACTTCTTGTCACGTATAGTTAATGGTGCGATTGAAGGATTGGTATGGAGCTGTTTAACTTTTGCGACAAGGCCATAGGCTCCGCTGTTTGCGACACCGTACTCCTGTGACGTGATAGAAGAATGGTAGTTTTAAGCAGGAAATTGTGAAGATGAAAAATATTTATTTTGCATACCAACGAGGGACCACACAGACACATTTTCGGCCATAACCCATCTTGCCTGTTGACATCAATTTTCCCGTCAAGAGCATATTACAGGCATGGCTGGGATTGCATACTCATTTCGCGGTGATACATACAAACGAACCGTTCGGCGCCCATTCCATTGTCTTCGGGACAGCTTTCGCCGAGTCACAGGGCCCCGTCCGAAGTCAGCAGCGAGCGCCTCACCCATACGCCGGCCTGCTGAACCGACCCTCAGTTGGACTCCCTGCGCAGGTCCCATATGTTCACCATGCAGCGCCGATGCCGCGGCGCCGACCTGTGACTCTGAGTGGGGCCGGAGAAGGCGATTGCATACCTCGGGAGATTAACGAGCCCGTCTCAAAGCCGCGGCTAACAGCTGGCTCTTCGGGCCTAAGCCGATGTGCAAGGCTCGCATGCCAAAGGTTATCCTGCCGCAGACAAAATATCGTGGGTTTGTTTGGCCAGCTGCATTTCGCGGGGTTGAAGCTGCGCTGTAGTCTGTGCAGAGGTCTCTTGTCACACCTGTGCATGTGTCGCCGCGTACTAGTTTCCGGTAACGAGATCGGCACGCAAAATGCGATCCATTGTGTTTTCAAGGCCAGTGAATGGTGGTACTCATCTATTCTCTGTGCTCCCGCAAAAACAGTACAATGTGACTCTTCATAACGGCGACGAGTTTAGCTGGGACCTCTCGCACGGAAGGCATGCATCTCAATTTGCCCCCTCGAAAAGGCCTTTGTTGCCACATCATTTTAATATTCTCCAGTAGCTTTGCCACGTTAAGAATGTCACTGGGTATCTCACTGCCCGAAAAGATCACGCAAGACCATTGTCATGACATTTGTTTCAACTGAAACCAAACACTCATTAATTTGGACATGGCCGCGTGCCCTTAACATGATAAGTTGCGATATGTTTGCCTTATGCGCGAGCCCCGCCGTGTGTCGACACGTCTCCCCCTTGCCTCCGAGGGTGACCGGGAGACGCGCTCCCCTCCCCCGCAGCTGTGACCCAGGTGACCCGGCGCCACCTGGCCGATGAGAGGCCGTGCTGACTCGGGCTTACAGTCACATCGGCGCTGGAGCCGCGCAGCGTCCGCTGGCCACGTCACCGCCCCCCCCCCCCCTCCCCCGCCCTCCTCGCGCGCGCGCCGGTCGGACCACCGGGCGTCCGAGCCGGCGGTCAGGTCGGATTAACGGGTCACAGGCAGGTCTGGGCGCAGTCACTGCCGAAAGCGCTTACGCACTGCACGCAGTGGAAAAAGGAGCGGCCAGTCGGCATTAGTGTGCCGACAGCTGTCTTCGGGGTCCAGTTACACCAATATAACTGTGTGGATAATTGCCCCTCAAAAGCGAACACGCATGTTTCGTTTGCATGACTGACAGCGAACAAGGCGCCTCCAATGTCTTACAAGAGCCGGAACAAGACGCCTGGAGGACGAGAAGCGATTAGCTGGGTCTAGACAACTATGCCTCACCAAATTATCGGGGATAATTAGTTCCGGCTGCCAAATTCACCTGCGTCAGGGACCCACGTATCAGGGTGACGCGCGACCTCCAAACTTGAGCGCACAGCACCTGACAGGCTGCAACAAATACGACCCCAAAGAATACGGCTACGTCAGTCCGTAGATTGAGGCGCATCGCTTCGGTTAATGACCACAGATTCCGTGGTTTTGAGTCCGGGAGACAGAGCCAAACGATCCACTCATAATCTCAGTGACGCGCCCGCTAGTGTTCGCTTTACCTGACCGGTCAAACTTAATGAGCCGTCAGCCATCGCACCCCTGGCTATAAGTTACCGTCTTCCGTTGCAGATGGGCAAACGGAGGGCCCGGAGCTGCCGTCGGGCCTCAGTGTGACGCCGGCCGTCAAGCGGCGGCGCAAGCGCACCCTCGAGTCGGCCGACGTCAAGCGCGAGAGCAGCACACCCGAACGCAGTCCCAGCGGCTCGCCGCGCTCGCTCAGCTCCCAGCGCTCGCCGCACGAGCGCCACAGTCCGGCCACGCCCGCCTCGGCCGCCACGCCCGTCACCAGCCAGGCGCTGCCGCCGCGCAACTACAGCGACTTCATGCGCAGCCTCGCCGCCAAGTACAACAACAACAACCCCAACGAGTGAGTACCCGCCCGGTCTGCCGTCCCATCTGTTTGTGGTGCGGGCTTGTCAGCTGACAGTCGACTGTGTCAGACAAGCACGCTGGCCGCTGCGATCAAGTGGAGTCGACTTTCGCAAGGCCTGGTTCTCGTGTATGGCTTGATCAATGATGGCCCCCACCGCGATTCTCCGCTGTTCGCGGCTGCCAAGCGGCTTCCGCTTCAGTAGCGGTGTCGACACCGGCCTAGCCGGCCAGTCTGTCCGTTTGTCACGTGGCAGTGCGCCTGCGGCTTTGTTGGTGGCGTCGGTGTCGGTGTCGGCCGACGGTCAGCTGGTGTCCGGCCGACGTCGGAGCGATGGCCGGCGACGGCCGTGTAGCGTGATTTACCGGCCGGCCACGAAGTAGCTCAGGCAGAACGGCTCCCACAGCAGAGCTCTCTCCGGCCGCGCGGTGTCTGTGGGTCTGTGTGTGTGTACCTGTGCGTGGGTACGGTGCAGGCGACGTAATGACGGAATGTGGAGCTGCCGCGGCCGGGGCCGTGCGGCCGCCGGCCGCCGGCCAGACGACCAGCGACATCCATGCTGTCGCACGGCCGACAGTAAACCGTGTCAGCCATTGGGGCCGTCGGCCGAGCACTGGTCCATATTTTGGTGACGAGGATGAGCCGGTACCGACGAGGCGGAACCTCCAACGCTCGCCTTGAGCAATGGTGACACCGAATGATGTGGAAACTCACATTATGCTCAAACCGGATGGCTTTTTGAGAAATGAAACCGCCAATTAACGTAAACGCACATCCGGTACTTATTTTGATCAATCCTCCTTGCCTCTCATTTGAAGTGGGCCGTGTCCTTGCTGCCGTTTCGTTTGGCGAAATAATCGTCCATGCTTGTTTCATGGCCTGTTCATACACGTTCGAAGCCATTACTTAATGCCAATGTTTAACGGGATGGAAACGATGTTGTCACAAAAAATAATTTCGCATATCTAGACGGCTTGCTCTGAGGGGCTGCCTCAAACGCATGCGCGAACTATCGCCCGAAAAAATCACATCTCTTGCCTAACATCTCTACTTACATCTCCGAAACCGGCCAGCCCAGACTTGTGTTAATATCAAACACACTGCAACGCCGTCTCAAGGGTCGTTGGTTCACCTTAGCTTAAATTGCCCGTCATTAGCCAACAGTGTCGCTCTTGACCCCACTGCTGTGCATGGTCTTGAGTCTCGGACCCGAGTGGGTCCCGCAGACAATGCACACGGAGTAGACAGCTGGCTGAATAATTGTCAATACGGGCTGGCGTCAGGTCAACTCACATAGCGGGACACCTCACCACCCTGCCATCCCTGCAATGTGCAGTGTTGGACACTTTAAAGTCTAGTCACGGTGATTCCTGCGTTGAAAAAGCATCAGTACGGCACCAGCCGCAGGCCTCTTGACAGACATAGCTCGCTCGTACGCGCGGCCGTTCACCAGCAGCCAACGCGCACGACCGTCCGCAGACGATCCGAAGCGCACGACTCTCCGTCAAGTGATTCCCCATTTTTACACTCGTGGCGTTTGGCCGGGTCGTGTCCGTCGCCAAACCCGTGACTTTCCGGCGTCACGAGCGGCCGATCGGTGCGCTGTTTTTCATGCCGGCTCGGCGGCGGCGCGGCCGGCTGCCGACCACACGCGCGCCGCCCGGGTCACTCCGTACGTGCACGAGGCATTCAACAATTACCACCAACGAGCGGTTACCAATTACGGACGCCGGGTCCCGCTGGCCGGCACCCGCTGCGGGTCGAAGGTCGCGACCGAGGTCGGACATTAGCGGCGACGGGTGCGGTCGTCAGTCGGCGCCCGCGCCGACGAGCCGGGCCTCCAGCCGACTGGTCACGGCTTGGGCTGGCGGTGGACACGGCACATCCCAGCGGGGGGCGGCAATACCGGCCGGTGCAAGAGGTGGGGACGAGACACCTGCGACAAAGCCCGGCAGTGTAGACTAGGCCAGTAACGAGGCAGGCCTCTGCTGCATCAGCCGGCCGGCTCCGGTGAGCCGGGCGGCTCTTGCGATCCTCAGCTCTCCCCGGTCGCCCCGCATACTGGCCGGAGCGCCGCTCACGTAAAGCGGGTCGCCGGGTCAGCTACCAGGGGGGGGGGGGGGGAGCTCTACCATGAGCCGAGGGGTGTCGTGTTCCCCGGCGTCCGATCAGCCACCTGCCGGCCCCACCACCGCCGGACGGCGTCCGGTGGCCGCAGCGGGTCGCGGGGGCCGCGGACCGCGCGCCCCGGCGCCGGAGGCGGCAGTCCGGCGACCCGCATGACCTCTCGTGACCGCGCGCGACCCCGCATGGCCCCGCGCGACCCGGCGGCGCTTCAGACGCCGAGGTCACGACTGGACAGGGCGTCGCGGTCGCCACCCGAGAGCGGGGTGCCGCTGACAGATTGACGACGTCGCCCTGGCGGGGCGCGCCGTCGTATCTCGCTCGGCCCGATGGGGGTGACGGCTCGGGAACGATAAGGCCGCTGGTCGGCTCGTTCCCAGCTCGGTGCTGGGCGATCCCCAGACAGAGGGGAGAGGCCGCGCACGGTGGACACGGTCAGTTGGGTGCCGGTGTCCACGCTGTCCATAAAGACACGACGGGTGAAACCTGGCCACTCACATAAAAACGCGAACAGAGAGCGGGAGAAACCAAGTCGGGGCCCGCGGGCGAGACGACATGGGAATTAATGGCGGCCGCTAACCAGCCTGCAACGCCGAGCGGCGGCGGTGGTCGGCGTGACCACATCTCTACTCGGAGGCCGCATCAGACAAACGCGCCTGCCCTCTGACCCTCTTACAGAACAATTTGGCTACCTTGGCTCAGAGCTAACAGACGGCCGCCGGCTGGGCCCACATTAGCCGCCTCCCGCTGATGGGATGAAAGGTCAACATGGCGGCCGGGAGCCATCGGCTGGCTGTTGGGCGGCTGAGTGGGCCGCCGGGCGGCCCCGCCGGCCCGAGTCCGCCGCCACCGCCGCGCCGCCGCGCGTCGAGCACGGGACGCGGACGGCACACGCCAGCGAGGAGGGCCACCGGCGCGGCGCCGGCGACAGTCGGCGTCGGGTGGTCCGTCGGGAGGGGGACGTCCCACCGGGTCGGTCACGACACGCTCGTAACGAGCCGACCTCCCGCCGCCGACCGCCGCCCCGCCCGGCACGTGCAGTCGTGACCGGCGGCGACCCGACCTGACGCGCACGGCTTCATTAACCGCCCTATACCGGTAACGGATGGACGCCTTTACTGGCGGCGGCGTCCGTAAACCCAGCGCGTGTCGATCGGTCGCTCTGGCTGGAGAGCCGGCGCCCGGCCTGATTTACGCGCCGGCCCGCAATGAGCCGTTGCTGTTTCCGCCGCTGTGTGCGTGTGTGTATTCGGCCGGTCGGCGGAGGGTCGTAAATCTGGGGCGCCCCGCCGAGAGAGCCCCAAGGCCTGTGTGTGGGCGTGATGACGATGGTGTTGATGAGCCGTCTGCTTGTGCCGCAGGTACTTTGCCGGCCAGGCGAACGGCCTGCTGCGCGGCTTTGACTACAGCCGGTACGGCCTGAAGCCGGGCCACACGCCGCTGCTGGCGTCGCCGGCCAAGGAGGAGAAGAAGGAGGAGGTGGCGCCGGCGGCCAATCCGCTGCTGGCCGTGCATCCTCACCTGGCGGCGCTCTCGGGCCTGCCCATGCTGGACGTGCTGTCGATGGTGCGGCCGGGCCTGACGCCGTCCGACTACCTGGCTGCCGGGCAGACGGCCGCCGCGGCGCCGGCCGGCAAGCGGCCGCCAGAGGGCGCGCCTCTCGACCTTTCCAACATGAAGCGGCCCCGCCTAGAGAAGGGCTTCAAGGAGCTGTTCGGGCTGAAGGAGGAGGCGGCGCGCGTGGGCAGCGCCTCGCCGCGGCCGTCTGCCGAACTAGCGGCCGCCCTGCACGGCTCGGCCTGCACGCAGAAGCCGTGCTCGCCCGAGGCCGAGGCAGTGTCCTCGTGGGGCGTGGACGAGGTGTGCTCGTTCGTCCGCTCCGTCGACGTTTGCGCCGAGTACGCTGAGGTGAGTACCTGGTCCCATTTCCCCTCGATTTGTCTCCATGAACCCACGGTCCTGTTGTGACACCACGACAACAGATTAAACATCTCCGTGCGACATGTTTGGGGGCACGTCCTTGCTGTTGACATCCACCTCGGCGCAGGCCGACCGGCAGCGGCGGCGGCGGCGGCGCTGCTCCAGATGTACCGCCCGTATGGACCGCGTAGCCACCGGCCACGAGAGCTCGCCGCGCTCATCAGTAGTCCTCCTGGAGCCGCTCTCGCGGCCATTTATAACCACCGGGAGCAACTTTTAGATTGGTTCTCCTCCTCGCCTTAATGATGACTTTTTCCGACGTTTCAACCTCGCCCCCGTGACCTCTGATAATGGAGGAGGGCGTGCTGGGGCATCATCTGGCGCTGGCCGCCACGAGATAGCATCCAGCGAGCCTCCCACTCTGCAGCGGCACTGCCCGCGGCCACCGAACCAGTCGCCCCCCCCCCCCCCTCCACCACTAGACCGGGCCGGGGGCGGGTCGACCGAGCTCAGCTCAGCTTCAGGTGGTCACGTGGGCAGTGGTGCCGACCATGAGAGGCCACGCCACCAGCGGCGGCCGGCGCCGCGGCGCCGCCACCAGGCGCCGTGATTGGGAGAAACCGGGATCGCATTTGGCCTAACGACGAGTCGACAACAATGATAACCATTACCCCCGACCCGGCCGGGCATTCGGCGGACATGACCCGACGACCTGGGCTGGCCCGGCGGCCTTTCAAGTGGCGGCGGGCGCGCCGCGACGGGCGCCGCGACCGACAGAGGGCGGAGAGAGGGCGGCGCGGTGCCGACCGGCCCCGCCAGCGGCTGTTATCGGCCGCCGACGACACCGGAGCCGGTAGCCGCCGGTCAGACATACCGCCCGTGTCAAAGGTCGACGCCGGCATAAGGCCGAGCCGCAGCCCCCGGCCAGGGGTCGTAAATGGAGGGCGCGAGGTGGCGGCTGGCAGGAGCGCTTTGTCCTCGGCGGTCCGCCAGAGTGATAGCCCGTCGCGTTGGAAGGCGGCCCCCGCCTCTCGCTCGAAGTCGGCTGCGGGCAGCCTCCGAGCCACGCCGCCGCCCGCAAACGGAAGCCTGCCAGGAGTCAACGCTTGACGCTTCTCAGCTGGCGGTGGGCAAAAACGCCGCTTTTTACCCGAGCTGCCGGTGGCTCGGCTGCAGCAGGAAGCAGGAGCGCAAAGTTCACGAGGGCTTGTCCAGGGAGCGTACTATTATTACGGGGAATTCAGACACGCCGTTACCCCGTTCATTACGGGCGGCCCGCTGCGCGCAGCCCACTATAAATTCCGGGCTACACAACAGCAGCGACCTGCGCTGACCCCAGGAGCCGGCGCGGCCGCCCCGCCGCCGAAGAATTCATCAAGATTCTATCTGGCAGGTGCTGGAGAGGCCGGGGTCGTCGTGTCGCTGACCCCGGGTCGGGGGTCGCGCAGACGCGCAGCCTAACGGCGTGCGAAGCGGCGGCCGGGAGGCTGTGGGCGGCCGGCGGCGCGCAGCCGCCGGCGGACACCGGGGAGCCAGCCGCTCCCGCCTGATAAAGGAGCCAGTATCTCAAGCGGCGCAGCGGCGCAGCGATAAATCGGCGCGCCGCGTCACTTTTGTCGCCGCCAGACAAGTGGCCGGTGCCGTTAGCCGGTCAGCGGCGGCCGGCGGCCGCACTGCCGCCTGGCCAGCAGCGACCGCCGCGCGGCCGCTTTATGGTCACAAGTGGACGCCCTGGGAACGGGCGCACCCGCCACGCGCACTAAATCACCATCAATGGAGAACAAGTGTTGATGTGCTTACAGGGTGCCCAATCGCCATCTCGCACGCTACCTGGCGTCGGGGTGTCGCTAGTTCTCAGACTATGGGTAACCTGGTGGAAGTTGGTCAAAACATCTTTGGAAGTTGTGCTCTGCCGCGTTATGCTGAAGTTCCGACGATCAGCCTGAAGCTGACAGGCGGGCAGGCGTTGCCGCAAGACTGCCCGGGCCGCGCCCGCCCTGTTACCGCCTCCTCGGCAGCTTCCGCGTTCGCCCAGTGGCCGGCTACCTGTCCCCATCGCCAGCCGGCTGACCTCCATCAGGCCGGGCACGAGCCGAGCGGCGCGGCCTGCCGACCTCGAGCCCCGTGCACAACCCGGCGGCCACGCCCATACAGGGAGGGGCGCCCGCCGCCGGCCGGCGACGGACTTCTGACGTACTGACCACGCCCGGCAGCTGCCGCCGTACGGTAGCCGGCGCGCCCCGCTCGCCGGAGGGAGGCTGCCGAGACGCACGAGGTCCCGCGACCGCCGACACGCCCCGCTCGCCGGTGGGGGGGGGGGGGGGGCTGCCGAGGCGCACGGGGTCCCGGGGCCGCCGGCGCTCGTGCTCGTGGTCTTGAAATCATCGGGTAGAAATTTACATTCGTGAAAGGAGTTGCCGGCAGATTATGCAAATACGGTCGGGGTGGCGTGGACGTCGTGACGCTGCGATAGGTCACCGTCACGATGGCTGACCTCAGTCTGGTGTGGGCCACGAAAGAAGCATTCGTGCAGTTGTGAGGTCGACTTGGTATATGTTACCACTGGTTCTATTATTTGTTCTTAATTTCTTAGATGCTTAAAGAATATGCTAGCTTTGGCACCCTTCGAGTCCTCCTTCGCGTCCCTTTTCTCACAGAGCCGCGCCGCTCTCCCATTCAGCGCACCACCCGACTGCCGACAGTGACGGTGCCGTGCCCGCCGGCCGGCCGGCATACCGTGACCGGGCCGGCGGCGGTCCGTGCCGGCCGGCAGCCCCCATTAGAGCCGGCGTCACCCATACATTAGCCGGCCGAGCAGCGAGCGGCCGGCCGCCGGCGCCGCCGCCGGTCTGGGGCGTGCACCGTGCACGGCGTGGCTGCACGCGGCGCCCCGCCGGCCGGCGGCGTGCCGAGGCCGTCAGCGCCCGGCCGACTGCACCCGGCTGGCCGCCGGCGCCCGGGAGCACGGCCGGAGAAACTCGACCGGTCGGGCCGGCGCGCACGCCGCGCCACGGCCGATAGTAATACGGCCCGAGATAATTTCCTGTCCACTCGGATGCCGGGATAAGACGCGGTGGGCTCTCGGCCGGTAAATTACGATATTAAGTTTCCGGAGCGGCGGTGTTCACGGAGGCGCTGGCCGGCAGCGCGCTGGACGGCACTTTCTCCGCGCGTCGCGACCTCCCATCCCTCTCGAGCAGCTTCAGAAGACGCGGTCAGCGGCCGAGCAGCTATCTGGGCGGACCATCACCGCACCGCTTATTAAAAAGTAGAGCCAATAAAGTACGGTCAGGGCTCGTAAGTGCCCGCCGAGCGCGTGTTCGGACGCCTGGGCGCGCGCGCAGGCCGCATATTACGACCCGTTTACGCCGCGCTAGGCAGATGACCCATTTCACTGCCCGCACCGAGGCTTCTGCGTGAAAATTGGAGCATTCCAGAGCGCGCCGGCTAATGGTCACTGCAGCTTGCGAGACGAGGAATGCCGCCATGCTGGCGGTGGTCGTTAACACGTGTTCCGTAGTGTTCACAATAGTCAGAGGCCGCGGGCGACGTCGCATTCCGAGTCATCGTCATTGGTTGTAAACACCGGGTGAAAAGGACGCGGAGTGCGGGCATTACACTCTTTGAAGGATACAAACACTCCTTTTTGTCCAGTTCTTACTCTTCCCACACGCCGACCACGAAGCTCATCAGTAGACCACGAGACTTCCTCCGACCCGCGCCCTAACTGTAATTGAATTTGACGATCGGAAATCGAATGGCTTTGAGGGTTAAAGGGCCGTCAATGCCGTGTGGAGTGAAGGTCCTGTGGCGGTGGCCGCGGGCGGTTCGCCGCTCGCAGGAAGTTGGTGTGCCGTCGAGCGGAAACTGGCGGCGGCGCTCACGTGAAAAAGAAAGCGGCCAGCTTCGACGGAAAACAGGAAACGTGGCCTGGGGTTCATGGTGTTCTCAGGCGCGCTGTGGGAACGTGCCGGGGTAAAAACGGGACGTCGCCGGTGCCTGGCCGTCCAGCGACGCTCACGGACCGTCGCTAATGTGTGGTCGCACCATCTGCAGCCGACACTAGGCTCCTCGATGACATACGGGCTCCCTGATATTGCCTCTTTCTCGTCGTGCGTCGGTCGGTCAGTCAGTGACCTCAGCTGCACCCGTCTGACGGCGGCGCGTGTCCCTGTTTCAGACGTTCAGGGAGCACGGCATCGACGGCAGCACGCTGCCGCTGCTGAGTGCCGAACACCTGACCAACATCCTGCACCTGAAGCTGGGCCCGGCGCTGAAGTTGCGCACGGCGCTCAGTCAGAAGATCGGCCACTGCGCTGTCTGCATGCACTGCACCCACTGCCACGCCACCAAGCCGACCGCCCGACCGATGCTGCCGTTCTCGACGCCGAAGAGCCAGTGACTGCCGCCAGTTCGTCGTCGACGGCTGGGAACTCCGAGGCGTCGCTGCCACCGGAGCTGGCCCGTGCAACAAATCTGGAGGCTCTTCGTTACATTGTATCCGACGACGAGGAAGAAGCATCAGCGGTGGTATTGTCGTTGTATAGTGATGTCTGGCAGACTTGTGGGCTTCAAGGCCAAAGAGTCGTTACTGATCGGTGAAGAGTTCGCCTTTGTTTGTTGTTACGCATATCGAGCTGGCCCGCTTCTCCAGAATTATGGCTGGGTGACCACAAAGATGTTTGCTCCGTATGTGGATTAGCGAATTTAAATGTCATGTTGCAATTGCAGACTTGCTGGCTCCAATGTCTATGATTAAGTTGTTGTAGATAAGTACATGCTAACCCCTGGAGGGTGCTCATAAATAATCCTATAGCTCGATGATCAATCGGGCATGCGTAATGTGTTCTTCATGGTGGCCTCACTGGACTTCATTCGGCAATTACGACGTAAGCACATCCCTCTCTTGGACGTCTCATCTGTGTAAGTCGTCTTATTCCGAGCCGATGGTGAAATGCTTCCACTCTTGTTTATGTCTGTGCCGCTTTCATCAGCTCTTACGATGACTGTTATTATACCACCTTTTCACGTACCTGCACTGTGCACAGAATGATCAGTGTTCTGATGAGTGTTTGCATTATGATGTTATCGGCTGAGCTACATTGGGAGATGAAGTGATGCAATATTACATACGACCGTGTTTTGATAACGAGCTGTGATACAAATACACATGTTTTATCAAAGGCTTCTTAGGGAGTGCAGCATACCAAAGAACTAGGTTCCCAGATTTCGGAAATTCGTTATGGAAAGAAGATATCACTAGCTTCTTTAGGCACACGATGTCCTGATAAAATACATTAACATGCAAATCTGCAATACAGTAAAACACGACAAAAAGTATGCATACTCAAGTGTAATCTCAATATTACATGTTCGGCAATGCATCGACGACACGTAAAATCCCAATATTCACTACTGCGGTCTACTGCAATATGCGATATAATACAATATTCACTACTGCTGCCACGATACGGTTTGTCCGTGCTGGAAACTAGCTTACCTTAGCAAAAAGACATATAATCATGCATCTAAGACGCATAAGCAACGTACTGATATATGAACTCGTAAAAGTTAGCAGAACGTCTTTGTTCATGCAGGTTCTGTCAAAAACCGGAAGATGCTTCTTCACACACACACACATATATATATATATATATATATATATATATATATATATATATATATGTGTCTATATGATATTCCTAAGCAGTTCTGTCAGCAGCGGGCCGGTGGAGCGTCCACTGCGGCGGTGCAGGGGCCGACTGGTCGTGCGTCCGTGATCTCCACTCTGTTCGTATTCGTCCCTGGAGCAGCTGGGAGGCAGCTGCTCCTGCCTTGAGTGCAGCCACCGCTGACCCAGCGTCCGGCGGACAGGGCGTGTCACCCCCGGGCGCCTCTCAGCCGGTGTCACGGCGGCCGCGGCTCGCTGCCGCCAACGGACCGGCGCCCGACGCCAATAAAGACCGCGAGCACGCTCTGGGGTGCGAGGTGAGACGGGTGGGGCCAGGCTGGGGGTCTCCGGAGCGCCATCTGGCCTCGCTTCGGCACTGGGTGACCTCAGAGCTCAGACTGGTCGGCGAAGTGATCATCGGTGTCATCTGAATTTGCAGCCGGCATTACACACGCTTATTATATTATCAGGCTGTATTTCGTGGACGAAACGTGCTGGGCCATCCCAACCTGAATGAAGGACCTGAAAAAAGTATAGCAAAAGTATGGTAAAAAGCATAGTAAAAGTAATGAAAACCCTGAAAAGCATAACCGTGCAAAACTGTGCAGATGGATCAGAATGCTTCATATTGCAAACTGTGACTTGGATCAGAAAACTTAGCAGTGCTATGCTGTGCGGCGAAATAAGAAAATGTATCTGTGCAAAACTGTGCGGATAGATCATAAGATTTAGCAGACAGCAAAAACTGTCGCGCAATGAAAACTACTCATGGTGACCAGGACGCATAATTCGACTGCCGGTCGCGTCGTAACTGCAGTTCTAAGAAGGCGCACCGTTTGCGGCACGTCAGTCAGATTTCCTGTGCGATCACGACCGCATTTTCTCCGCAGAACACCGCATGTGTGTGCATTCCGAGCTGGAATGCATCGCAACAACAATGCTGGTAATGCTCTTACAATCGCAGGAGTGCCGGGGATTCTCTTCACGTGAACGGGTCGGAAACAGCCTCCACGGTAGGCGCCGTATCTTTGCATCGAGCGTCGAAGTCAATGCGTCAATCGTTTGCTGTGGGCGCCTACATCTCTACAGGTGGCAGCGCCATTCATGAGCGTGATTACGTCAGAACGCTTCCTGGGCGTTCCTCGCGGCTTAGTCTCCCTGCTGCGTGTTACGCAAGCCTATCGTTATGTCAACTCCGGGGTGAGTACAGTAAAATCGCTTCCGTTTTGACGCGGATGCTCGTAATTACTTTGACGGGAGTCGAGTCAAAAATTATTATTTTTGGCTCAATTAAGCATATTCAACGCTACTGCGGGATTCGCTGTCGCCAATATCACCGAGAGAAAAATAGCGAGTCATATCACAAAAAGTGTATTTGGTGCCGTCACCGCAGGATCGCAAACTAAACAGCATTCATGAGACTGTCGGGCGGTACGCAGTTATCAGCCGTGCTACATACATCTGTACATTCGCCAACCGTGCTGATTTGTGGAGCTCAAACATGTACAAAAACATATCCCCGACTGTTGGGCAGAAATGCAGCGGCAGCAGAGACTATTGCACTAAGTTTCTTATTCCGTCGAACTGAAAATGTTGGTACATAAGGGAAAGGACGAATTATGTGAATGAACATGGGCAACGTCTGCCTCTTATGTATTGAAACCATTGAGCAAATAATTGTGGGCTTTCGACGCGCCAAACCCAGACCGGCGACCGCATCACAAATATTGTACGTCCGTGTAATTACCTACAACAGTCGCTACTTCATTCAAAGATCAAACAAGTAGACGTATGCATACGTGTCAGCTAGAAACAGACTCGTCTCTAAGTAACAGCTTCAACTAAAATGACGTCACCAAAACAAACTCAAACCGTGCATCTTGAGAAACGTGCTCACAGCTCCTCACAAGTACATAACAGGCATCAGAATGCATTTTTTGAAATGATCGGTTAATCATCAACAATTACATCTCACCTTAGTCTAACAGCGGACTTCACTATGATCGCAGCCACGCGCTTACGACCAGCGCTAACCGTGTGCGACAGATCAATTTTGCACGATCCCAGCCAAAAGAGCATCCCCGGCAAACACCAGTGGAATTGCACTCATCAGATAAACATCGCGGAATGCATATGCAGCAACAAAACGCAGTTCGCCCCTGCTTGGTCAGCAGTGGCTCATGATTCGCCGGGCCGGGCGGTCGGCTTGGTGGCGTGGCAGTGGGTGCAGTGCATGCAGACAGCGCAGTGGCCGATCTTCTGACTGAGCGCCGTGCGCAGCTTCAGCGCCGGGCCCAGCTTCAGGTGAAGGATGTTGGTCAGGTGTTCGGCACTCAGCAGCGGCAGCGTGCTGCCGTCGATGCCGTGCTCCCTGAACGTCTGAAACAGGGACACGCGCCGCCGTCAGACGGGTGCAGCTGAGGTCACTGACTGACCGACCGACGCACGACGAGAAAGAGGCAATATCAGGGAGCCCGTATGTCATCGAGGAGCCTAGTGTCGGCTGCAGATGGTGCGACCACACATTAGTGACGGTCCGTGAGCGTCGCTGGACGGCCAGGCACCGGCGACGTCCCGTTTTTACCCCGGCACGTTCCCACAGCGCGCCTGAGAACACCATGAACCCCAGGCCACGTTTCCTGTTTTCCGTCGAAGCTGGCCGCTTTCTTTTTCACGTGAGCGCCGCCGCTAGTTTCCGCTCGACGGCACACCAACTTCCTGCGAGCGGCGAACCGCCCGCGGCCACCGCCGGCGGCGCTCACACTCCACACCGCATCGGCGGCCACTGCCCCGCTCCTCACATACCTCTTCCCACCCGCCCCACCAGCCCCAACACCTTCGCATCGGGAGATGCAACTTTACTACTATGGCAATCCACAATAATTCCACCTGGTCGCCCAGTCCTACGACCCACCACGTCACCCGCAGCGCCGGCTTTATCACAATACCGACTGAAGTTATCAAACTCTCGATCCGAAATCGCGTCACGTCTGGGCGTGTGGGCGAGCTGGGTCCGGGCCGTCCGCCGGGCCCGATCCGCCGACCGGAAGTAAGAGCGGCCATCGGCGGGCGAGGTCAGGTCCAGCCCAGCCGGCGCCGGACCTGGCCACCGGGCCGCGCGCGTCACACCCTCTCCGAGCGACATCCGTGGCGAGACGAGGCGCCGATATTGCGCTACGCCCGCGCTCGGCCTCCGATAACGGCGCTCCAGGGCGAGCGACCGTGACGGTGACGAGGGCGCATCTGGGGGCGGGACGGGACGGGACGGGACGGGACGGGACGAGACGGGACGAGACGGGACGGGACGGGACGAGACGGGACGGGACGGGACGGGACGGGCGGGGATACCGTCTGGCGGTACGCCGACCGGCCTTGCGGCGGTACAGATTGCGAGCGGGCTAGACACGGGACCCCCCACCCCCTTATGGAGGGTGTGCACAAGGGTTCCGACACGCACAGTTCTTATGCGAGTTGGCCAGTCTAGAGAAGGAGGGGATTTCGAGCCGCGAGTATCGGCCGACATGTTGCAAGTGGTTTGTCGGCATCTACAAGCAGCGAGGACGGTGGTGATGTACTAGCATTCACGATTGCACGAAAAGGACACAGCAGCGACCCGCTGCTTGGTGCAACCAGCGCTGATGAATTATTCAAAACGGGATTGATCTGATACTTGAAGGATAATTGCTTTCCTTGCCGCAATGGTGCATGCTGGCGGAACCTGATTAGCAATTTTCTTTCGTACCTGTCTTGTTTTTGCTCGCAATGATTATGCACATTATTAACGTGCAGCACATTGTATTCAGAATGCAGTTGACAGGCAGTTTATCTAGTCACTCTTTTCCTATTTCGCATGTCTTGCTGAGCTTGAAAGATCCATCGCCACCAGCCATAAGGCTAGACAAGAACACATCGCGACGACCAGAAAGGTTGTCCTACATACTGAAGGCACGTTTGATCTGCTTTTGATCCCACCCGGTTTCGTGTTGGCATATGGAGTCCACTTAAACACATGTCGGGGTCAGCGACTGACCCCGACAGCGGGGAAGATGAGTGATGCATCTCCCCCGGCTCCCGGAAAGGCGTCAGTTCAGCAGTGCGCGAGCTTCTGGCGTCGGTGCTGGGTCACCGAAGGTCAGAGGAAATGAGCCGCATTGTGCCCCCAGAGCAGTTGGTTAACGCTGGAATGCGCCCACTTTAAACTGCGCGCTATCGCCAGCGATTACAGCGCCCGACGCGGCCGGCCTGTACGCGGACGAACGGTTCTCCCCGGCCAAAGTGGCTGGGCGTGGCCGAGCCGATGCCTCAGCGGCCGGGCGGACGGCGCGCGCCCGCCGTCGGCCGGCCGTCGCGGGCGGACGACAGCGGCACTGCTTACGCTCATCCCTCAGCTAAACAAACACCATCGATCATTCTCCACGACCGCCAGTAATTTGTAGCTCTCCTTCCAATTGGTCCGACCTTTTGCTGGCCCAATTAATTTACCGGCAGCGTAAACAAAGAGGTGCGACGGCGGGCCCCGCGGGCCGGCGTGCCCGAGGGCAGGCTCCTCGCGCCGTACATTTACGACCCCTGGCCGGGGACTGTGGCGCGGCCTTATGCCGGCGTCGACCTTTGACACGGGAGGCATGTCTGACCGGCGGCTACCGGCTCCGGTGTCGGCGACGGCCGATAACAGCCGCTGGCGCGGCCAGACGGAGGAGTGCCGCCCTCTCTCCACACTCCTCCGCTATCTGCCGGCGCGCGCCGGCGGGGGCCACGACGCCGGACGCCGCTTGAAAGGATGCCGGTACACGGCGGGGTCGGCACAGGTCACGCCAGAGGAATATTTGGCCCAGGTCGGGGGTAATGGTTATCATTGTTGTCGGCCGGTCGTTAGGCCAAATACGATCCCGGTTTCACGGATAATGACTGTTGGATCCACGGGGAGAGCGATGAAAAATGGCCTTTAATAACTGGATCTCGTGCTGCATGAGATACGAGGCGGCGCCGAGACCTCCTCAGGAGCCGCACGCACGTGGCACGCCCGACCGCCCCCGACCAGCGGTCTCCGTGCACGGCCGCGCTGCTCAACCGGCGGATCCCTTGGGCCTCACGGAGGCACCGCGCGGGCTCCGCTCACGGCCGCCCGTCTACAGGGTGTGCTGTGGAAATTTCTGGGGTGGGGGTGGGGGTGGGGTGGAGGGGGGGGGGGGCTTCTCCCCATTTCAGGTAAGTGGACCGTAACGCATTTAAACCAACCACATTTTACTTTTTCCACAAAAGAAAAACTATACAGCCATTGACCATTTTTCAGACCTCAACAATCAACATACAGTGGCCTAAATTCGATGGGAAACTCGACGTCGCGTACATGAAAAGCCATCTCCCCTGACTTGCCTCCCAATCTCAAACGGTTTCCGCAGCCATGCCATTGAAATGTTGGGAGGACCACCCTCCGGTCACTGTATCGAACCTGTGTCAATTTGGGCAATACGTGCCAATGCCCGTCTAGGGCGACCGACCCGGCGAGAGGCGATTGAAAACCCAGCTTATTCAGACCTTCGTGGTGCGAGTAGCACCAGATGATGCCCAAACACGCCTCACTCCATTATCAGAGGTCACAGTGCTCAGGTTAAGATGCCAGAAAAAGTCATCATTAAACCGAGGAAGAGAACTAATTAAAGACTGGCTGTCGGGCAGCATAAATTGGACGTGGACAGCTAGTGACAAAGGGGCTCCGTGCCGCCTCCGAGAACGCCGGCCTCCTCGTCCAGAAGTGCCTCCCGACCAGTGGACAGCGGCCCAATGTAGCCCCGCCCAACTGACGAATGTCCCTCAAACACTGTGGTTAACCTTTCCCCGGACAAAGCGACGAGTGGACAGAACTATGCGACGCCTCATTCACATAGTGATCTCTGTCCACAAATTGTGGGCCCGGCACGAGGGGCCACTTAGCTGGCAGAAAGGGACCGGCAGGGATTGTAAATAGGCCCGACAGGTGGTGATCGCAGGCATTTGACCAGTCATTGTGCTATACGTCCCGGGGTGAGAGGCGCACAGGTGGCGCGAGCGTGGTGATCAGAGCCGACACTCACCTCGGCGTACTCGGCGCAAACGTCGACGGAGCGGACGAACGAGCACACCTCGTCCACGCCCCACGAGGACACCGCCTCGGCCTCGGGCGAGCACGGCTTCTGCGTGCAGGCCGAGCCGTGCAGGGCGGCCGCTAGTTCGGCAGACGGCCGCGGCGAGGCGCTGCCCACGCGCGCCGCCTCCTCCTTCAGGCCGAACAGCTCCTTGAAGCCCTTCTCTAGGCGGGGCCGCTTCATGTTGGAAAGGTCGAGAGGCGCGCCCTCTGGCGGCCGCTTGCCGGCCGGCGCCGCGGCGGCCGTCTGCCCGGCAGCCAGGTAGTCGGACGGCGTCAGGCCCGGCCGCACCATCGACAGCACGTCCAGCATGGGCAGGCCCGAGAGCGCCGCCAGGTGAGGATGCACGGCCAGCAGCGGATTGGCCGCCGGCGCCACCTCCTCCTTCTTCTCCTCCTTGGCCGGCGACGCCAGCAGCGGCGTGTGGCCCGGCTTCAGGCCGTACCGGCTGTAGTCAAAGCCGCGCAGCAGGCCGTTCGCCTGGCCGGAAAAGTACCTGCGGCACAAGCAGACGGCTCATCAACACCACCGTCATCACGCCCACACACAGGCCTTGGGGCTTTCTCGGCGGGGCGCCCCAGATTTACGACCCTCCGCCGACCAGCCGAATACACACACGCACACACGGCGGAAACAGCAACGGCTCATTGCGGGCCTGCGCGTAAATCAGGCCGGGCGCCGGCTCTCCAGCCGCAGCGACCGATCGACACGCGCTGGGTTTACGGACGCCGCCGCCAGTAAAGGCGTCCATCCGTTACCGGTATAGGGCGGTTAATGAAGCCGTGCGCGTCAGGTCGGGTCGCCGCCGGTCACGACTGCACGTGCCGGGCGGGGCGGCGGCCGGCGGCAGGAGGTCGGCTCGTTACGAGCGTGTCGTGACCGACGCGGTGGGACGCCTCCCCCCCAACGCGACATAAAAAATGACGTCCCCACAAAGCGAATAACACGGGAGGGTCCCTGCTTTGCTCCTCTCGGCAACAGTCAATATTAGCTTCTCGACGGTCCGGAAGGCCAGCCTTTCACAAAGTACACACACGGCAGGGCAGAGCGGGCCCGATCGGCCCAGCGGCGGCGCTCCCACGCATCGGCCAGCCTGCCGGGCCAGCCGGCGGTCAGCGGCGCCGCCTCGGCCAGCCGTTCAACAACCTCTGTAGTGATCGCCTCATCAACATCGGTCATAGCCGGCTCCTATTTCCCCGGCCGGCGCTGGCAGGTAATGAGGGAGCTGCCGGCCGCGCGGCGGCCGCTCGCCGGAATCAAGTAGCCCGATTGTATGCTAAAAAGGTCTCCGGGTCAGGTATTCAGAAGCGCGGCCCGCAGCCGTTTCACGCAGCCCATAACCGCCCGCCGCCCCGGGAAAAACCTCATCCATACGGAATGAGCCGGCCAGCTGAGAGCCGCGGTGTGCGCGAGGGCTCAGATGTAACCAACCGGCGGCGGCGCGGCCGGACAGACAGCTGACAGGCGACCGTCGTCAGGGCCACTCCCCCCGCGGCGGCGGCCGGGCGGAGCGCCGACGGAGCCGACGGCCGCCGGTCCGTGTCACGCCCACCGGCCGGCGGCGCGGCTGACCTCGGCCGCGGCGAACCGACCGGGGCTGACCGGCCGGGGTGTCTGGAGGCGTCGGGGCGCCGCACGCGCGCCGCCACAATGTGCCGCGCGTGTCGACTGTGACGTGGCGCGGCCGGCCAGCCGGGCGGGCCGGCGGAGGCGGGATGTGCCGCGTCACGCTGCCGCCGCTACAGAGCGGCCCACACAGAGCGGGAGCACCAGCTCTGCCGGCTGTCAGGTGCCGGAAGGTCTGACCTGCAGACTGGCATCGGCTCTGTCACTTCCTGGCATCGACGACGAAGCAGTCAGGGGTGCACTGACAGATACGCGGAGAACGGAGAAGCGAATCGCAGCGAGCCGCTGCCATTGCAGTGCGGAGAGGGCGCCAGACGGACGTGACAGACAGACAGGCGCACTCCAGCCGCGCTCCGCCGAGCCGGACGGGCCCGGCACAGACCAGCGCAGACCTTCTTGAATGGACCGGTGACCGGTGACCGGTGACCGGTGACCGGTGACCAGTGACCAGTGACCAGTGACCAGTGACCGGTGACCAGTGACCGGTGACCAATGACTTGTGACTAGTGACCAGTAACCAGTGACCAATGACCGGTGCAGAGGGTGAGCTACGGCCCGTGTCCGGCCGCCTCCTCCAGTCACCGCTGTCGCTCGGGGCTCGTCCGATTGGCCGAACGACCGGCCCCGGGGCAGCAGCATTTCTCAAACGTCACTCGAGCAAACAGCTGTCCGAGAGACGTGATCCTGGAGGCGGCAGCGCCGGCACCGAGGAGCACGGAACGATGCTCAGGTGACGCGACTGCGGCGCCGGAAACGATCCGATACGACCAGCTTTGTAACCGTGCTTTGAGCGCGTCCCTTTCCCAAGAGCAGCACGCGGCAGAGGCGCCGCCGGCGGCCGCCGTCCAGCGCCTGCCACCGCCGCCGCCGCCGCCGGCCGCCGCGACTCCCGCCGCTGACTCCGCCCCTGCCAGGTGACATTCCCCTGCCGCGGATCTCGGCTCTGGGCCCGGCATGCGTTGACGGGACCGCGGCGGCGCCGTAAACGGCGGTGGCGGTGGGCGCGGGTCGGGTGGCGCGCTCGGTGACGCGGCGGACCGAGTCCGACCAGCGGACCGGCGGCCGTCAGGACATGCCGGCCGCGCCGCGGGTCAGGGCCGCCGTCCGACCCGGCCCGGTGAGCCGGTGTTCGGTGGTTATCGGCTGCCGGTGCGCGAGGCCGCCGGCCGCATCGCTGACCTTTCATTTGATGCGCTGGGGATTGATCGCTGCCGTGCGGTGTCCGAGTGAGCCGCCCACGGTATCAGGCGGTGCAGCTGGATCGACCGTCCAGTCCAGATCACCAGATCACCCCCCCCCCCCCCCCCACCATCCTTCCTTCTCCTCCGCTCCCATCCACCCACACGTCCGAGGGCACCGTGAAAGCAAGCTGTCTCCCGACGGGATGTTGTCCGGCCGTTGCAGCCGCTATGGCCGCCACCAAGGTCCTCTACCACACGCGCACCTCGCGGCCGGTCACAAAAACACCCCGGGCCGCCTTGCCGTGTGATTGTCGGCGCAGTGCCACTTCAGAAAGAACAATTGTACGCAGAGCCAGCGCGCGTCACGAGGGCTACCGAAACGTGGCCGACCGGTCACGTATCACTGTTATGCGGCCAACCTCGAGTCCGACCTCCGACCCCGGACAGACGCCGAGCAGCGGGAATTTCGCGCCCGTAATTGGTGGCCGCCCGCCGGTGGTAATTGCTGAATGTCCTGTGCACGTATCTGGCGACCTCCCTGACCCCTGAGTGCTCGCGTGTGGCCATTCAGCCCGAACGGCGCTCACTCGAAGATGTTTATCAGGGGTGTGAAAATAGGGTCAAAGGCATCCAAATTAGATGTCATACCAAAACAGCCTGCGTTTTTGTGCTCTTGTGGAACGATGAAGTTCAAAAGCTCACGCCATGTCTGTCGCACGGCGTGAATTTAAGAGGGTGATGACTTGGAATGAGCCTTTTCGTGCTTTTCGTGCCATGTGCTCTCGAAGCGACCACAGGAAATCTCTTTAGGTCCTAAATCAGTTTTCATGCATAGCTACATTTTCGCCTGCGGTGATGATTATTTCTGTTTTAGATGACATTTCCAGTAGATCGAAAATAGCTCGCCGAATTTATCGCACGACACTGAGGGTGCCACTCGTTATGGCATTTCTTTCGTGTGGCTATTGAGGCTGGCGCGCCTGATGTCATTTGACGAGGGCTGCCCGCTATTTGGTCATTTAGGGCGAACTCAAGCCGCCGATAGCTCACGGCAAACGTGGCGGCGATAAATCAACCCACCTACTAACACGGTTTACTGTCGGCCGTGCGACAGCATGGATGTCGCTGGTCGTCTGGCCGGCGGCCGGCGGCCGGCCGCCGCACGGCCCCAGCCGCGGCAGCTCCACATTCCCGTCATTACGCCGCCTGCACCGTACCCACGCACAGGCACACACACACAGACACACAGACACCGCGCGGCCGGAGAGAGCTCTGCTGTGGGAGCCGTTCTGCCTGAGCTACTTCGTGGCCGGCCGGTAAATAACGCTACACGGCCGTTGCCGGTCATCGCTCCGACGTCGGCCGGACACCAGCTGACCGTCGGCCGGCACCGACACCGACGCCACCAACAAAGCCGCGGGCGCACTGCCACGTGGCAAACGGACATATTGGCAGGCTAGGCCGGTGTCGACACCGCCACTGAAGCGGAAGCCGCTTGGCAGCCGCGAACAGCGGAGAATCGCGGTGGGGGCCATCATTGATCAAGCCATACACGAGAACCAGGCCTTGCGAAAGTCGACTCCACTTGATCGCAGCGGCCAGCGTGCTTGCCTGACACAGTCGACTGTCAGCTGACCAGCTCGCACCACAAACAGATGGGACGGCAGACCGGGCGGGTACTCACTCGTTGGGGTTGTTGTTGTTGTACTTGGCGGCGAGGCTGCGCATGAAGTCACTGTAGTTGCGCGGCGGCAGCGCCTGGCTGGTGACGGGCGTGGCGGCCGAGGCGGGCGTGGCCGGACTGTGGCGCTCGTGCGGCGAGCGCTGGGAGCTGAGCGAGCGCGGCGAGCCGCTGGGACTGCGTTCGGGTGTGCTGCTCTCGCGCTTGACGTCGGCCGACTCGAGGGTGCGCTTGCGCCGCCGCTTGACGGCCGGCGTCACACTGAGGCCCGACGGCAGCTCCGGGCCCTCCGTCGGTACATCTGTGGACGGAGACGGCAGACAGGTCAGCACGTGCCCCGGCGGCGGGGACCGCGACCGCCGGCGGCCGCCCCGAGGCCACGGTCCCAGATGGGCATCGGCGGCGGATGTCCTAATAGGTGGCGGCATATTCGGCGCGCAGCTGACCTCAGATCGGTCTCCGAGATGGCCCCTGTCGCACGGTTCGAGTCGAGAGCACTCAATCATCGGCCGGCTCGCAGCGGCCGACAGGGGACGCCTGGCACGCTGCCGCCGTCGCCGCCGCACCGCTGCGTCATGTCGGTCAGAACAAGGCAGCCGGAGAAACGACATGCTTCATGCCAACACATTCCGTGTGGGCGCGGTTTGTATTATTGGCCCACATATGGGCAATCCGTGTACACAGTGAGGTACGAGGCACGCGGCCGCGGTGTTGACGGCGACACGGTATGCATTAAGCGTTGACTTGCCTCACGTACCATATGTGGCACTGTCCTATTTTAGCACCAACACGGCGAGGTATGTCGGGGTTCAGAAAAAGATCGCAAACCAGCCCTCAAATACAAGACTCTAAGCACGAGACAGGCCAAAACTACAGTGCATTTGAGCCCCTGCATGTATAATCCGACTGGTCCTGACATGGGGGCATCCTTGGTGGCGGCTAACAGCGCAGCGTGTTGTCCTTATGAACGAAACCACCGCGAGCGTAAAAAACAGAGCCCCGGTGGGCCTTTCTTTGCGTCTTATCCAAGAACTCCCGACTGCTTAATCCTTTTGCGGAGGAGCGGCGCTTGTCTGCAGCAGGGTCGCCGTCAATGCCAGAGCGCCGCGGCCAGAGGCCGATCCCGCGGCGCAGGCCCGGGGTCGGCAGGAGGACGCCGGACCGACAGTTCCGGCGGCGGCCCGGCGCCGGCGGCGGCCTCCTCCGATCGGAGACCGGAGGAGATCGGAGATCGGAGACAGGGCTGAGCCGACCGCAGGCCGCCGGCCGGCCGGCCGCGCTGTCCCCTTATCCCGCCATCTCCAAAGCCGACTGACCCCGTGCCATAGCTGCATGCGAGGGGAGTGGGCGATTCCTGGAAAGGCTGGAGGTCGGCCGGTGGGCGGCCGGCTGTCGTGCCGCCGCCACCACCGCGTCGCCGTCCGGCCGCGGCGCCCGGTCCGTCGCCGCCCCGCGCGCTCCGCCGGCGGCGGCGCTACTCGCGCCGGCGGCCGTCATTAGCGCGCCAATATGATTCGGCAGCGGGCGCGAGCCGGCCGCGAGAACTGGTTCTGATGGCGGCGATAGGCCGATGGTATCAGCGGGGCGCTCGGCTGACCCTACCGGGCGTGACCTGGGCATGGCGCCGGCTGCAGCGGCCGAGCGCCGCCGCAGGCCGCCGCTAAAACAATCCGGGTCAGCCGGGTTCACCGGGCAGCGTACGTGGGCATGAATAACGCGCGACGAGGTGTGGTCCACATTTGGGAAGGGCGGGGCGCCGGCGAGCGCGTCCGACTGCGTTCGCCTATTGTAATTACCATCGGCGTCTCATGCATGACTTAGCATAATGGGTGGGGTACTTTCTTCACTAATTGGATGACAAGTAAACAGAAGATGTGATTTACTCCTGTGATTAGCTAAATGCCCAGGCGTGGGCGGCCCGCCTGGTCAACTATTTCGAGGAGAGCCACGCCGGGGGACTCCACGTCCCCTGCGACGCCGGACCTTCGCTAATGCCGAGAGAAGGCCGGCAGTGGGGAGGAGGGGCGGGGAGGGGGACTCCGCTTCAGAGCTGGCCGGCCGAGCCCTGCCGCCGGGGTCAGCAGGTCTGCACCGACCCTACAGGTCTGGCAGCCTCCCCTTCCGAGCGGCCGCACATACGTGGCCGGGTCGCGGAGGCGCGGACGGCGCGCGGCCACCTGGCCCGGCCGGCCGCTGCACCGGCGCGCTCCCGCGGAGGCGACACGGCGTGCAGCGCCTCTATCTGGCGCCCATCGGCCGGCCGGTGCCGCGCCAGGTATGTCGCCGGCCCGGCTGCATAATCGCCATTGTCTCCGGAGGAGGCGACCTTTGCTCCGGCCCCGCGCAGCCGACGCGGCTCGCGGGGCGGTGGCTGGCCGTCCTCCGCGAGGACGGCGGACGCCGCGGAGCGAGCCGCGCCGAACAAGCGGAGCCTCGCCGTCGGGACCCCGGGGGACTCCAGGGGGCGGGTCGGTTGGCCCGTGCGCGGACGGGCCCCGCAGCCGCCGCCGGACTTAGGAGTGGCCGGGTCACGCGTCTGGTGCTGGCCTCTCTCGACCACCGCCCGACAGGTGGCGCCACGTCCTCGGTCACTCCGTCGCGACCGGCGGCGACGGCGCAAGGCACAACAAGGTAGCCTTCTATCAACATTTGCCTACACGTAGGCCGTAGTGACCGATTCGACACTACGTCATCGTGGAGGGGCACTGAAGACAGACGCGGAAGGAGCGAGCCGCTGACCTCGCGGCCGCCTCTGAAACAGGTGTGCAGGTGCCGCTGAGCGAGCGCCCACTTAGCATCGTCGCTGACATCCACCCAGCTGCTGTCTACAAATGCAAAACTGATCGGCTGCATGTTGCGCCGCGTGACCCAGCGAAGGAACGCCGTGCCGACGCGGCCGTCCTCCGGGCTATCGACGCCACGATCCGGCCCCGGCCCGGCCCCGGCCCGGCCCGGCCCGGCCCGGCCCGGCCCGGCCCGGTCCGGCCCCCCACCCAAGGTGACGCCTTCGCCGTGAGCCGGACCGTGGGCGGCCGGCGGCGCGGCGGCCGCTGCCGTGGCCGCGCGGTGGAAAGTGGCTGCATTTTACCGGCCAGACCGGGCCGGCGTCACGACCATTGACCGGTCACTCAAGGACGCTGCCCGGCGCCGTCCGGTTTCGTTTTTTAAGCCGCAAAATGCCGTCTTGCAGGGCCGCGTTGATCGGCTATCAGATCCGTGTCAAGGGGACGTGGGGGGTGGGCGGGGGGCGGGGCGGGGGGGCTGCGGTTGTCGGCCGGACGGCGAGCCATGTCGCAGACGAGACCGCCGGGAGATGACGGCAGAGCGGGCACACGAGAACCGCTAACGTTGTTTACGGCGCAGGGCGCGGCCCCGGCCTCCGGCTGGAGCCTCTTTGCCGGCTCGTGCAGCCCCCGCGCCACCGCATGGACGCATTCTCGCAGCACGAAGTGCGTGTTAACTAGATGGTTTTGGATGTAGGGGTGTGTGGGCAGCATTGGGGCACGAGTTAAGCGAGCGTTCAAAGCATTACTCTTTCGATTCACCTAGCATTACGTGATTGTCATAAGGCAGCAAATAATCGTTTTGAGGAGGTAAAGGGCAGATCGGCAGCGAAAAGTTTGCCAACATTCACCGACGCGATGTTTCTGAAACGATTCCCTGACTTTGACGCGCAGCATTTGTCATCGCCTCACGTCCAGACGTGGAAGCTAAAGTGGTTCGTAAAGTCCCCAGCACATCCCCATCACAGGAACGACACCGACAACATAGCAAATCCATCCGTCTTGAATCAAGATAACGGATGCAGGAGTAACGCCACTGATAGCATCATTCTCCTGATGCCGTGTGCTTTTAGAGTCAGCAAACGTATTGAACAGTCAGTCTGACGCACAAATGGGCGATTTGACCACATGCAGCTTTCACAGCTTATTAACGCATCTTTAGCGCATAACCAATACAGTTATGGGGAACTGGTGTACGCTGAACGGGCGACCGATGTTAGCACCTCACGAAATGCCGCTGTTCGCAGACGTCGGCTAACGAAAGTCCCATGGCGACGGACCGCTTCTGTAAGGAGCGGTCCGTTGTTTGTTTTTGGTTGTTTGGTGAAAGGCTTGATACACATATTAGCATTTGACTTCTCCCATTGAATAAAAGTTTACTGCATATCGAGCAAAATTTGAACCAAATCGTCGGCTGGTCATGTTTATTTAGATTTAGCGCGACCATTTTTGATTGGATGTATTATTTGGGACCAACGCCCACACTAGGCAGTGTTTGTTGTGTGAGCCCTGACACCAACGTTCAATGGTGAAATTTCGAGTCAGCAGCGGAATCCTGCAGCGAAAGACTAGCATGCCACAACGCCCACGAAGCTCGGCACGGTCTATCCTGCCCTCTGACGTCATCTAACCTTTTAGTGCGGCCACTGCCACCGGCCTAGGCGGGGGCGAACAGTGAGCGCCTACAGCGTCCGCTTTTGTCCCTTGCCGAGACAGGCGGGTTAACTGGAACTCAAAGCTCTTCAACCAACCGAGTTAATATAGCGGAGACCAATGGTCATGCTCGAAGCTCAGCAAACGGGTCGTGCTCACCACAAACTTTCCGAGATGCAACATGATATGTCAAACGCCCGCTGGAATTTTCCGTGGACGAGAATGGAACACGAAGCCCACTGATTTCTGCCAGCCTTATGAAAACATCACACTTGCATGAGCATTACATTCAGGAATTTTGCACCCCGTACATCATATGCCAAGTACAGAAGTTTATCGCAGAATCGTTTCTGGCAAACTGGTTGTGTAATAGGCCCCGGCCACAGGCCTCGCCACCTGGTTACACCAATTTGCGAGGTAAACAAGGACCTCGGAGGTTCAATTTGCTAGCGGTGACGAGCCGTTCCAACGCGAAGGCTGCCAGCCAAGCGCGTGAACGCCACCGCATGCTATCCACAGAACACGTAAAAAGAGCATATAAGTGATGGAAAAGCAATTTTCTTGCGAAACATATTATTTTCGTGGCCATGCAGCACGTACATATAGCGCGCACCTGAAAAATTGTAAATTTTTATCTAGCAACTCTTGAACTGGGCTCAAGTCTCTTCCTTCGTGAACAGCAATACCATAAACGATTGCGTATCAATGTCAGTGTTAGTATAACTCGCCAAAATAAACTTTTTCGCTCATGCTGACCACTCTTGCCATTGGGGGTTTCATTCTTCAGTATTGCCTGTGCGAATCCTTTCTTCCACTGCGCTCACTGAACTTTCCGCCAACGCCTCACAGCCATCCACACGCAAAACCCTGTTCGGTGACGTTCACTGCATGAGACAATGCGTGACAGAGGCAGCTTTACGAAGTTGCAAGCAACTAAAATCCACGGTGGAGAGCGCGGTGACCGGTCGATCCGGAAAAGAATGTCCAGGGTCATTCGGGACAAAGAACGCACGCCAGCCAGGCGGATCTATTGACCAGCATCAAAGCCAACCCCTCGGCCAACATCGATTCTGCCTTGAAAGCCTCCACGTAACATTGATCTCGGCTGGTACCGGGGATGCAATATAGATGGGTTTCGAGGGACTAGTCGGACAACAAGGTTACAGAATAATGCAATGAACACTATTGACGTTTACTGACGTTGGAGTAGGTGCATTTACTCTGCTTAGCTTAGCTCTGAGGGAGACCAGACTGAAAAGATAATCTGAGGCGGACACAATATCTCTGCCGCAAATGTTTAGGGACATCTGGGTCCTGATATCGAGGTGAGTTGCAAGCCTAGTCAACCTTATATTGATCAGCTGAAGATGATTAACAGGTAAACCACGTATTCGAAATAAGTGATATCTAGAAATCCATTTCGGGGGGCGCTTATAAAGCGTGCACGCCATTTTGGCAGCAGACAACCGTTTGCAAGCGCATGTACGTAAGCGGTTGGTTAACGGTAAGCGAAGTTTTCCAGCCCGGCGTCGTGATCTGGTCAACCTTGAAAGCAAATGTAAATTTCGCAATAATCTAGCAAGGATTTGGCCGCGCCACTCCTTTTCCACCTCCAACATGGCCTTTCGCCATCTCCCTTGATCTCGCTGTTGTTTCACAACACGACAAGAGTACGTTCACTTGCGCAGTCAACAAACTTATTTGTGAAGTCTGAAAATAATGTGACTAGTTTTAAAGCGTCTCAGCCTCCGATTTTCTGAAACATGCGTATTGTTGTATGACGCTTGGAAATAGGTAGAATAAAAGAATAGCCATAGCTGCTCATAACGCAGTGCATTTGTTTTAACCACGTTTTCGTTACACGAAGCTGAGACTTGTAAAATTAACATTAGAACTACGCCAATTTAAATTGTAACACGTGTAGAGGTAACACACCAAGCAGTTCGTGAGTTGGATGCCCCAGCAGGTGACAACGAAGCTCAGATCGCTCTCCATTGCGCTGCATGATATGGCATGGCCCGTTCGTGAGGTCATGCTGCTTCAGCGCAGCTGTGCTTGTTCGCCGCAAGCTGTTCAGTACCTCAGCACGGTATACATGAACGTTTTCGGAACACAGCATGCATACGGAACTGGGCGGCTACCCTAGCAGCCCATGTCAACATGCCAGCGGCATGAGACAAGTCATGGCACACTTACTCGAGTAGCACCACTTGGGCCAGATGACCGGGCCCGATGAGTCGAGGTCCGTCATCGCCGAGACCGCACCGCCCGCCGCCCCCGGAATCCGATCAACCGGCACTACGTCCGAGTCCGAGTCCGCGAGTCCGGGTCTGATCTGATTCGCCGCCGGTGTCCGACTTGACGCGCCGTCAGTGTATGCGATCTGACGGGCCGCTGAGGCGGAGCGCGCGTGACCGCGGCCTGTTCGATATTCCGGACAGCGAGGGGCCTCCGCTCCTGAATCCTGCCGACAGCGGCTCGACCGACGCTCCCAGGGAGCCGGCACCTGCTGACGCACCTGCCACCGACCGGCGAATGCCGCCAGCCGACGGCGGCCGCTCCAATCACCGGCTGCACGCGCTACCGGAGGTCAGCCGTCTCGACCAATGAGCGGCCGGCGTCGGCGCCGGCGGAGGTGCGCTGATCAAGGAGGACACGCTCCGTGTGAGCTGCGGACAGATTGTTGACTTGTGTCCGGCCGCCGGGCGCCGCCGGCGCTTCCTGTTCGGCGCGAGCGATGACTTCCAGCCGGCCTGCCAGCCGGCCGCTCGCGCTCGGTGATCTCCGCCGAGATAGTCTTGGTGTTTCCCTCCAGCCAAGTCACAGCAGATACCACGCCATACGCAAGGGCTGCTCCTGAACCCTGGGTTGCTGAGTAAATTTAGTGTGGATTGGTACAGAAATTGATGTCATCACTCTGTACGCAAAAGTGCATGTTATTCAATTGAAAAACGCCGATTATTACCTGACTGGATGGTGGATTGAACGACTTCAAGTAGATTGTACAGTGCACCTCAAATTAAACTCATTTTTATCCAATAAACTTGGGATAGCAGCCCGGAAGTCTGATTTAGCAGGATGACACTTTTAATGGTAAGACGGGATGGTAGCAAACGGAGACTACGTAGCATGTCGTAATGGTAGGACACAATTTCTGCTTTTAACAAAAAGCCCAGTTGAGTGCGCCGCTGGTGCCAGGAATTTGTTGCATGCCACATCACAGAACCACATGCATGACCGCTTATATCTAAGTATGTCAGCATGGTCCAACACCAAAAGTTCAATGAAAGACATCTTGCAGAACGGCTAAAAGGTATATTATCATATCGCAAGGCCATTTAATTCCTTTAAATGCTTGCACACCTTACATTGAACAAGCATTATGCGGTCGAAGTATTTTCAATATAATTGGTCCTACGTGTCTACCCCGATTTTTCATTCCTAACGTCTATCCACATACATATCATGCATGTCGAAATGTCATAAAGGAGAGGGGGAGAGCGCGTGCTCCTGATGTCCTCCTGTGGATGCGCCCTTGAGTTCAATCACGTGAGAGCATGACATTGCTCTACAACATTCGGGATAGCCCTCATTTAGTATAATGTGGCAAGTTGGTGCGCCAGTGAACTCAGCGAAAGCCACAATAGCTTTAATTCGGTGGGGCAGCTTATCTAAATTATCGTTCTGAGGCGTCACGCATTTTGTGCGTAAATATGCCCTCAAACTTTTGCATTCCCTTTGCATCTTACTGCAGTTTGCAATTTTGTGGGGCGATGCAAAAACTCAAACAGGTAGACTGGTCGCAGGCTGCGCCCAGAAGTGGTCGCAAATAGTGCATGTGATTTCGTGGTAAAACGTCATTAAACAAAATAGACTGCCAAAAGGAATGCAGTCTTACAGTGCGGAGGACACACGTGGCCACGATGAATTGCGACTAAGACGAAACAAATGGCCACCAGTCGATCCCGCTCCTTCACCACCGGTGCAAGCTATGTGACACCAGCTGTCACGGTCATGGCACTCGTGGCACTCATGACATTCATGGCACCCATGACACTCAGCGCCATCTCACTTTTCAACAACCCCGTCGTTACGAAACGCAACGTCGTCTTGTACTTCAACACCCACTCACTTAATGGCTGCATCTTTTATCTGTTTTCCTTTAGGCCAGTCTTCATAAACTTGTTTCTCTTCCTGCTGTTTCTTCTTCCGTGTTTCTCTGTCAGCCCCCGCTTCACTGGTGAGCTGGTCGGAATTTCAATAAGTTGGACCTTGCACTAACTGCAGTCTTGCGTGTTGCAGAGACTGGCGCGTGCTGTTCCAGTATCTCCTTGAGTGTTGCGGTAGCTGGTATTCCCAGCTCCTGACCCCAGTCCAGCATATGTTAACCAGCCAGCTCTCTCACCACAGGGTGACCTGAGGCGTGGATGACTAGACGAGAGTCAGTCTACTTTCGACACCGGATCGACGTGCCCACGTACTTTGCAGCTTCTTGGTAGTGCTCCATAATATGCACGAATCGGATCTTTTCCTGATCTGACCAGCTGTGCATCCGCTTAAAGCATGCTGCTATTTGAGAATGCCCGCAAGGTCATCAAAAGGCACACATCCAGATGTTAGTCTCAACGGTAACCAGATGGCAAATCCGTGCAAGACGATTTTGTTTTAAACTTGATGCCGAGTAACGTCTGGACGGAGCTGGTATCCTCCAGGTCTAGCTGGTGTCGCAAGGTAACAACTTTGAAAGAGCACTGGCTTCGGTGGGAAGGGCGCGTTCGAATTAAGCAAAGCCTCCGCCAGACATCGAGACCCTTGCGGCGGGCCGTTCACCCGAGCGTATTCACTTCTCGACTGACCGTTCGCTTCGATGACGTCAACAGATTCGCGGTTTAATGACGCTGCTCTGCGGCTGGCGGTATGCGGCCGGCGTCCCGTCGACCGGTGTCAATGCCGCTATTGCTCTCCCTGGGTGGCGGCGCTGACAGCGCCAGCGCGCATGGCCGTCTTCGGTGTGCCTGTGAGGCGCGGCGAGGAAGGAAATGGACGCTAGGCCTTAAACAGGGGGCTGTGCTGTCGTAGGACCGCGTCCGGCCGTGTTTCTGCATAACAACGTGCTTGCCATGCCGCCATTACGGAATGGCGCAGAAAAGGATTGAAATACAGATGACCTGTGGTAAATGAATCACAAAATTAAGAGGTGACTACTGACTTTAATGCAGCGACAGCCCCTTCACGGAATATACTGTTGTTGTAGATTGGTAGTTTTGAAGTCGATGTATCATGATAGCTTTGGATGGATCATGTATGTTCAAATCACGAAACCTTCCTTCCGAAACTTCCGTTCCTACATCCTTCCGTCAAAATTTGGCAAAGCAGCAACTTTATTCCGAAATGTGATGAGCATCAGATCGCCGAAAGGGCTGTAGAAAATAACTTCCTCGGAGCTATTGCGCATTTTCATGATGCTTGAACCTTCGTCGCCCCGGTAGCACTTCACTTTACCACAGAGTCCCAACGCATTGCTCAGCACGCAATGCTTTGGGATTCCATTCACTCTTGTTTTCTCTCGTTTCAATCTCCGGGATGATGTTTTGGCGAAATCCCGTGAAATTCCAAAACCTCAGTATCGTATAACATAAACGGATAACCTATCACACGGATATTTTAGCTTTCAGATAGCCTCTGTGAATATTGTCATGCAGGTTCCGTTCGTTTCTTGTATCTCGGCACTGCACTTTTTTAGAGCTCCTGTCTTCAGAATAACCCACTCATGGCCTGGTGAGCGTGAGTTGCTTTAGACGTTGGCTGTTTGTGCCGTCTAAAATGGCCTACGGCCAGTGATAGCTGCCGCGCTAAAGGTCAGGTGACGCCAAAGGACCAAGCGAACCGCACCGAGCATTGCGGCACGTTTAGTTTTCTCCGCCTTATCCCGCCCTTGACCACGATCGGATGGTGCGGTCAGGCCTCATGCAACAAACATTTTCTTACCGCGGGAGCGAAAATCCATTCGAAGTAAACGTTCCGATGAAATATCTAAAGACACTGAGTTTCATCATAGCGTTGCGTTGCGTTGTGGCTGGGCAGGCTCTTGCTGTTTGCAAGGGCTGGCTTAGATGGATGCAGTATTTTCGGTGGCAAGTACTCGACGCAGCTTGTAGTACAAGGAAAACCGCACCGCCGCTGAAAAGACGTTTGTTGAAATGTATCGCCGCAAATACGGCATGGATTAGCGATTCTATGTTTCCTTCCCTTAACCAAGCTCTTGTAATAAATTAAACCGACTGTCATTTACGCCCAACATCAGTGACTGAGGCGCCAACAATCTACAGTGAATGGTCAGAACACTGATGCAGAGTCAATACGTGTTTCACGGGCTCTGATGCGTCAATAGGACAGCGAGCTGTTGGGGCCGAGCGAAACCTGCTGAATGGAACTGCGTTATGGATTCAAATTGTGGTAGCTTATAACAACTCACAGTCGAATACCATAGGTAGATTTTTGAAGTGCCAATGTCAAAGTCTCCGGCATGCAATGTATTGACGAAAAAGTATGCAAAAAAAAAAACAGAACAAAAAAACAGCCTTATCTTTCTCGGGGGTGTTCCAGCCATTGCAAAGATAACCTGGCCAGTGTCGACAGACATATGCGACACCAGACACATCCAAGGTCCAATTGGAACCAAACGCCAATCTGTACCTCCAAGGGGACACTATGACACTGGGGGACACGTGGGCACCTTCCACCCAGGCAGATGAGGGGAACCCGCCGCGTGAAAGTAGTTTCCCCACGTGGGAACAAGCGGCAACAGAGCAAAAAACAAGAACAGGAGCAAAACAAACACCAAAAAAGAGAAGAAACAGAGCATCGGAACAGCACGGAGCCGCCATGGACGAAAGGCGACCGAAGCGCTACTGCGTTAAACAGAGAGTGACCCATTTTGACGCCATCAGGAAGGCAGCCTTCTCTGCTAAATGTGCGGGCTTGCAGTGCGTTGTAAGTTATGTTTTAATGAGCGTCTGGGCAGCGCCCGACGCGCAAGACAAGCAACCCACTTGGTTGAGTTTGATTTTCTAAGAAGCGAGTTCAAATTGCCAACAGTGCGACCATGATGAAGTATGGCCACTGTTACCACCACGCTGACTGGTAGCTAAATACAGAACGGATTTTTACAGGCCTAATCTGAGCCTTTAGATGGATGGATTTCTGGGATCAGTGCTCACGCTAACCACAGCTTATTGCGTAATCCTTGACCTCGCCATCCGAGCGTGACATTTCACATCAACGGTAGAATTTTGCGTGCTGCAATTCTTGGCACAATCAGTCCTGCCCTAAGGCGTAACCTGACCTTAAGCGCGGCCGCTACCAGCGAGCTCAGCCTTTCCCAGTCAGAGACAAACAGTGAGCACCTTAAGCCCACTCAGCCCGCGTCGTGTGGGTGGATAGAAGTGCAGGCGCTCTGACCGAGTTTTCGGGACGCATGACGTTGAGAAGGGCAAAGCCAATGGCACCCAGTGCGTGGTGGG